TCTTAAGCAAGCAAAAGTTCCATTAAATGAATACCAATTTCCTGTCAATAAAATTGCCAATGTTCAATCACAGGTAATAAATTTTTTCAACTTTTTTTTTTTTTTTTTAAAAAAATATCATTACTTGCAAATTATATATATATATATAATCTAATATATTTTAAATAAATAGCTTGAAAAACTTATTGAAAAAAATTATTATCTTCATCAATCAGCAAAAGATGGTTTTCGATCTTATTTAACAGCTTATGCTTCATATTCATTAAAGTCTATTTTCAATCTGAATAATTTGGATCTTCAAAAAGTTGGCAAATCATTTGGTTTTCAGGTACCACCTAAAGTAAATATTAACATTGGGTCTAGTGGAAGAGAATCTAAAATTAGTCATAAAGATTATAGTCATAGTAGTAGCATTAATAGAAATAGAAAATTCAACAATGATGATAATGATAATTTTGATAAAAAAGCTCATTTTGTAAAACAAAGGAATAGTGCAATAGTTAAAGATAAGACAAACAATGGAGTAGATAAATACAATAATAAAATAAATGATTATGTAAAATTAAACTGTTGTTAATTTAATTTTTTTTTTTATACAACCTAATATGATAAGTAAAAATTTGAAATAATTTTAATAATATATATAATTTGTATTTAAAAAATCAGATTTATATAAACAGAAAAAATAAAAATTTAATCCTTTAAATAGTTATTTTGAAAGTATTTTTTATGGTATTTAATGTTATATAATTATCATGCAATTGCTATTCTTGTACAACTCTAGCATGTTTAAATATGTTTTTTGACAAAAAGGTAAGTTGTCTTTATTGGATTGGACTCTCTTTTTAAGGTGCCTTCTCATATTTACTTTTCCACCATTAATTGCTTTAATACCAATATTACCACTACCATTAACATCATGACTACTAACAACACCAACACTACCACTTGTAACCTTCAACATCAACATCATCATTACATTATCATCATTGCCATCATTTTTCATTTCATATGCATTGGCATAAATACTGAAGCATTACTGTCAAAATTATATTCAATTAAACTATTTGGTTGAATTTTTTTTTTTGATGAATCATCATCATCATCCATTGATATATTAGCCAATTTATTATTAGCCTGCTCAATTAACTTACTAAGTGAGCGACTTGTATAGAATGCATCTACATGGTGTTTGTAATTTTTTGCTTCTGAAAGATATTTTTCTGATTTAATTATCTCTTGGCGTTTTGATTCTGCTAATTCAGTGATTTTTTTATTTCTTTCAGAAGGCCATTCATAAAAACAATAAAAAATTTCACCAGCAGTTGGTCTATTTTCTGGATTTGAGTCCCAACATTTTTTCATCAATTCAGCATAGGATTCAGGAGTGTCTTTGGTGACTTTAGGTCTCACTCCTCCAAGAATATCCGTTATTAGATGATCATGTGGTACATTA